CGCCCTCCAGGAAGCCTTTCTGCTGCTTTCTGCAGGGTGTCAGTCGTCCTCTGTCCCCACTTCACGGAGGGAGACACCTGACACCGCTCAGGCTCCCCTTGACCTTCCGGTCTGTGCTGGGTGCTCGCCCCGCCCCCCCCCCGCGCCCGGGCTCCAGCCTCTATGGAGGGCGCAGGGTCGGTGCCCACGGAGGCCGGGACCCCGTGGGCGGGGGAGCCCGGGCCCTGCGGCCTGGGAAGACGCGGGGTTCTCGGCTTTCTCCAGCTTGCTTCTCCTTTTCCCTCTCTCCTGCCGCTTCCCACCCTCTCCCTCCCCCGCTGTGACTCAGCCCTGACCTTCCTTCCCTGGGGTTTCAGAAGCCCACGCAGGAGCCCCCAGGTGAAGGTCAGCGCGTCCCTCCCCTGCGGGAAAGGGGAGCGGAGTGTGGAGGAAACACATCTCTGTGTTCCCAACATCTCTTCCGGCGCTAGCTGGGTTCTGAGCTTGCTGAGACATGGGGTCCACAGGACCCCAGTTCCCTTCCCTAGCTGGGTGGAAACACGGCTGGTGGATCTGTGTCCTGATTCTGGAATGTTCATCACCCCCATTCACCCCGCTAGCACCCTCCACGGCCTGCCAGGGGTATCCACCCACAGCCCTGCTCCTTCGAGCATGGGAACTGCCCTGAGGCTGCACCCGCCCAGGCTGGACATGCAACAGGCTGGCATTTAGCAGTGCCAGTGGCGGACTAAATGGGCATTTCTCCTCTTGGGCCCTAGGGGTGGGGGGCTTTAAAGATCATGAAGTCAGCTAGGCACTGGGCTCATGCCTATAATCACAGCTATTCAGGAGGCTGAGGTAGGAGGATCAAGGTTCAAAGCCAGACTGAGCTAACAAATGTAAGTGACTCTTATCTCCAACTAACCAACAAAGAAAAGCTGGAAGTGGAGATGTGGAGCAAGTGATGTGCCAGTCTTGAGTTCTGTGGTTGATTGAGCTTCAGTATTAACACGCATGCACATGTGTATACACACACACACACACACAGAGATCACTCAGCTCTGCAAATGAAGTCTAGCTGGGGTCCTTGCTGCTTCAGGGACAGAAGCTCTGCCTTGAGCTTTTGTGGGGAAGGGCGTGGTGGGGCATTCTAGCTGCCATGTTCATCTGGCTATGAGTCTATAATAGTTTTTGTTTTTTTTTTGGTCAGTAGAGGGACGTGAACTCAGGGCCTGGGCACCGTCCCTAAGCAATTTTGCTCAGGGCTAGCACTTTACTACTTTGAGCCACAGCTCCACTTCTGGTTTTGTGGTAGTTTATTAGAGATAAGAGTCTCATGGACTTTCCTTCCTCGGGCTAGCTTTTAACCACAGTCCTCAGATTTCAGCCTCCTAAGTAGCTAGGATTACAGGTGTGTTACCAGTGTCTGGCTTCAATAAGACCTATTCTGACTGTCCTCTTTGGGGAGGTCTTGGGTTCATGGTTAAGGAGGGGGGTGTCCAAAACTCCTGCCCAGATCTCACCCAGGAAAGAATTCTCAGAGGGCTTGGAGGGGACTGGAGTCAGCTCGTGGAGAAAGCTGCCGCAAGGCCCAGGAAGCCTGGCCATCTCCATAGCTGAGGAGAGCTGGGTGAGATGTCGCCGCAGGAGTGAGCCCCTGAGTAGAGGGTGAAGCGGAAGATCAGCCAGACCCTGCCACTCTAACCCTTGGCCAGCCCAGGTGTCCTTGAGGACACCTCTTCATGAATCATGCATATTCCAGCCCCAGAAGAAGGGTCAGGCCACATGGGAGAAAATCATGGGTTCTGGGTGCTGCAGGCAGCTGGGCTGAAGGCTGGGTTCTGTAGGGAAGGCTCGTCAGACACTGTCACAGCTGGCTGGGGGCTGGGTGTGCTGGGTACCCAGGGAGGTGGCTGCCCAAGGTCACGCAGCCTTTGGTGCTGGGCTGTCACAGGAACAGCTCCTGGCTTCTCTCCTTCCTTCCGTCCTTTCTGGTCTTCCTGCCTGTGCTGGCAGTGAGGGCCAGGCCCAGCAGAAGCCCCTGCTGCAGGTGGGCAGGTCACAAGTCCCCCAGGGGCTCCCATGGGGTTTAAAGAAAAGGACACTGCAGGCAGAGGGAGCTTGGGGGAGCAAGGTATTGGGAGGGGGGCGCTTGTCTTAGAGAAGAGCCCTGGGAAAATTAGATGACCCTGGTCACAGTGACTAAATTTGCAGACTTAAGATGGTCGCCATCTTAAGTTGACAGGGTTGTGTCACATGAGATCTCTCAGAGAGATTGAAAGAAATGGCTACGGCCACACAGTGCCCCTGATAACTACTGCTGTCTTTTTTTTTTAATTTTGGTGCTAGTCCTGGGCTTGAACTCAGCGCTTGAGCACTATTCCTGAGCTGCTTTGCACAGGACTACTGCTCTATCACTTGATCTGTAGTTCCATTTCAGCATAAAAAATTTTTTAAGCCCAGTGGTGGTGGCTCACACCTGTAATCCTAGCTACAGGAGGCTGAGATCTGAGGATCAAAGTTAGAAGACAGCCCAGGAAGAAAAGTCTGTGAGATTCTTATTGCCAATAAAGTACTCAGAAAAAGCTGGGAGTGGCACTGTAGCTCAAGTGGTAGACACTAGCCTTTAGCATAGAGAGGCTCAGGGACAGTGCCCAGGCCTTGAGTTGGAGTCCTGGGACCAGCAATTTTTAAAAAATTGTTATTTTTAATTGTTATTATATAAAGGTGATGTAAAGAGTTACATAAGTCAGGTAAAGAATACATTTCTTTTTGGACAATGTCATAATGCCACCTGTTCCCAGTTCTCTCCCAGTTTTTCCCTCCCATTCCCACCCACAAGTTGTACAGTTCATTTTCAACATTGTCTCTAGTGAGTACCTCTGCTGCCTTTGTTCACCCTTTGTCCTTCCATTTCTGTGCTCCCAGCCCCTTACCTTCCACTTACCGATTTTTGCTGGTTAATTGGAGATAAAAGCCTCACAGACCTCCCTGCTCAGTCTGGCTTTGAACCGCACTCTGCAGATCTCAGCCTCCTGAGAAACTAGGATTCCAGGCAGGCTGGTGGCCTGCCCTAGGGCCGGGTCTGTGGTTTTTGACAGTGAGACTGAGGCATGATGGGGAAGCAGCAGGCTGAGGGCACTGCCTTCCATCACTCTTTCCACACAGGACGCTGACAGAACTTCTGAAGCAGCCAGGCCCCCAGGAAACACTGCCTCCACCACTAGGCCCACCCTTAGGCAGCTGTGTCCAGGTCCAAATGGGTGATGGTCTCCCTCGGGGGTCCCCCCACAACAGCACAGGTGAGTCAGCTGGAGGCGGGTATGGGGCCATCTCCAGCAGAGCATGGGCTGCCGGGGAAGGAGGTGTTAGAGTCCCATGCTTGCTTGGTTGGGGAGTGGAGGCTCTGTGCCTCCCTAGGGAAATGTGTGTGCATGGGGGCGGGGCCAGCTGGTCATCGCCCTGATGGAGAGAGGGGTTTCAGGGTCTAGGATCCTAAGACTAGATCCAGGATGTGCTGTGTTTGTCAGGCTCTGGCGTGGTGCTCTGGAGCCTGGCTTCCTCTTGGCCTTGCTGGGGAAGCAACGCTTGTCCCCCCGCCCCCCACCACCCCCAGTTCCTGCAGGGAGCAGGTTCTGGGACTCTGCCTGGCGCAGGCCTAAAGCAGGCAGGCCTGACGCGCTGGCCAGCCACACACTGGGGTGGCACCTTCAGGGCTGGCTGCCGTTGTTCCTGGCTTTTGAGCCAGGTCCTGGGCATGGTGCGGGGAGACGGGATCTGCTCAAGCCTCACCTAGAGAGCATCCCGCCAGTCCCCGCGGAGCTGGGGCTGCAGGTGGGGTCCGGGGTCAGCCTGCGTCCCCTTCCCGCCCCGCTCGCCCCTCTAGACAAGAAACGCCTCAACAACGCCCCCCTCGGGTCGGCCACCCCGGGGCCCCCGCGCGGACCTCGGCTGCAGGGCGGTGGCAGCTTGACCTTGCAGCCCAACTACGCCAAGTTCGCCACGCTCAAGGCCGCGGCGCTCAAGGCCGCAGGTGAGTGGCCGCCGCGGGCGCCCACGCTAGGGCGACGCTAGGGCGACCGAGCTCCGGGGTCCGCGAGCTGAGGGTCTGGGGGCGGGGCCCCGCGGTTCCCACGCTCTTCCGGCTCAGCCAATCCGCGCCCAGGGCGCCACCTCGCAGCCAATGGACTTTCGGCTCTGGCGGGGACCCTGGGCCCGGGCGGGAGCCCGGGTCGCCCCGCACCTTGACCAGTCCCACGCGGTCCTGTCCCCGCAGAGGCCGCCCCGCAGGACTACTACTCCCGCTTTCCCGCCCCCGAGCCGGCCCCGCGGGCCCCGGAGGACTTGCCTGCCCTGCTGGACGCCTGCCCCTGGGCCCCGCCGAGCTACGCGCCCCCCGCCCCGGCGGGCCCCTACGCCGCCTGGACCGCCGGTCGGCCCGTCCGGTCCGCCCCGCGCGGCCACTTGGCCCCGGCCTCTCCGGCGCCCCGGCGCCTCGGCCACGCGCCCCGCCGCCAGTTCAGCGTGGAGAAGCTCGCCGAGGCCTTCGGCGCGCAGCCCCCCGGCCTCTACAGCAGCATGGGCCGCGGGCCGCGGCACCTCAGTACCAACAGCAAAACCGAGGTCACCGTGTGAAGCAGGGCGGGTTCCTACCGAGGACCGGCCGGACGGCGGTCGGTCCTGAGCGCGGCCGCAGCCGGGCAGGGCACCGGCCCGGGCCCCGGGCGGACGGAGGCCTTGGAGCCGCGGGGTTCGGGGCCAACGGAAGGGTGCAGCCATAGGGCTCCTCATGTAAATAAACCCTGTACTGTGGCTCCTGCCCGAGGCATTGATGGCGGCACCGGCCACGGACTAGACAGACGGCAGTGCAGGCAGAGGGCACAGCATGGGCAAGAGCAGAGGATCATACCCGCCGGTGCCAAGGAGAAGTGGCTGGAGAGGGAGGCCAAGGTTGAATGCCAGGCCTAATGCTCCCACCGGGGAAGCCATGGAGGGGCGCAGCCAGGCCTCGGCCATCTTAAGGCATGGGCACAGGGGAGAGAGGACTGTTGGGCTCCGTGTGCTGTTTGTGTCCGCGGACAAGGCGTGAGCTGGCCGCGCACTCTACAGCTTGAGTTGGCTGAGCCTGGCTGGGCCTCGCTGACAGCCTGGCCCTGGGCCGGCCCCTGGCCTGCGGGCTGCTTGGCCACATTGGCCCATAGCCACCCCCCTAATGCGTGTGGGCCATGTGGACATCTGGTACTCAGGATAGAGGTGCTGCCCTGGGTAAGAATGATGGAGATGCTGGGGGAGCCAGGCAGACCCCTTCCTTAGGGCACTCACACTGCGCATGCCCAGTACTGCCTGTCCCTGCCTGCCAGGAGGGTTCCTGGTACCTGGCTGAGGCCCAGGACACTGCCAGCAGCCGGCATGTCTTTCCAAGTTCCTCTGTTCCAGGTACTGACTGGCCTGCTTGTGTAGAGGAGGAGAGGAAGGGGGAGGGGACGGCGCTGCAGCCAATCGAGCCACCTGGTTGGGTGTTTTCCTCACATGGTACACTGTTTTGAACAGTAATTACCGCTTGTTGCTGTCTTATTTAGTCCTCACAAGAGATCACAGGGCTGTGCCTTTGGGTCCCAAATAAGTTGCTGACTCGCAGATGGGACCCTCCCGCATCGTGGCACCAGGAGCTGAGATGGGTCGGCAGGAAGAAGAGCCCGCTCCCAGCGCATGGGCAGCCCTGAGGCCCTGACTCACCCAGCCCGGTCTCAGTCCATCTCCTGCTGGAAGGTCCATCTTGGCTGTTGAGTCCCGGAGCCCATGGCCCTGCAAAAGCCACAGCCTCCACGGCTCATGGGAAGAGGGCTCTCCCACCACCATCTCAAGCTGGGGAAGGAGCCCTGGCGCTGTCCCACAGCTGTTCGGAACCGTGGGAAGGGAGCAGGTACTGAGTCATGGTGCTTGCTGAGATGTACGAAAAAGAGTCCAGTTTCTGGGCACACAGGCCACCCACTCTGGTGATGGGCCCTGCTTGGGCTAGGAGGTGGCTACCATCTCTCTGCTCATCCTTAGTCCCAAGAGCCCTGGGTCTCCCCTAGGGCCTGGCTTAGGCTAAGGGTAGGGGCTACTAATGAAAACGCTGAAGTAGCCAAGGAACAACTTGGGCTGCTGTGCCCAGGACAGTGTGGCCTGCAGAGACTGCCCGCAGGAAAAGGTGTGCGCAGGGCTGCTGCCTGTCCTGGTGAACGGGTCTCAGGCATGGATGTGCAATTCAACATCAGGCTTTTTCCCACATGGCATGCCCAAGGCCCATGTACCCTTCCTAACCCATACCCATCAAGACCCTGGTGTGGTCTTTTCCGGGGGCCTCTCACCAGCATCACAGGGTACCTGTCCTCAAGTATGTCATATCATCCTACAAGCCTATGGGACTGATGGAAGGCAGGATTAGCAGCCCCATCTTGTACACCTGGCAAGACCCCACCCAAGGTAATCCAGCTGGGAGCTACACTTTTGTCTCCGGGCTTTAGCCTGCAGGGAAAGGGAAGATGTGATCTACCTAAGGCCAGGTGCTGGTGGCTCATGTCTGTAATCCCAGCTACTCAGGAGACTGATGGCAGAGAATTTATAGTTTTGAAGCCAGCCCAGGCAGCAAAGTCTGTGAAACTCTTATCTCAATGAACCACTTAAAAAAAAAAAATGGAGCTGTGGCTCAAGTGGTACAGGGCTAGCCTTGAGCACAAGTTCAGGGACAGGCCTAGAGTTCAAGCCCCAGGACCAGCACACATACACACATACAAAAGTGGTCCACCCACTGGAACGAGAGACAGCATCCCAAATCCCTGTCAGCCAACGTGCCAGCTCCATCCAGGGAACAAGTTAGAATGTTGCAATGTACAGTGACCTTTTGACTCTAGAAGCACCAGACAGCTCTTTGATTGCGGTCCCTTGTGCGTCCCCGGAGTGTGTGCTGGCACTGGGGGAGGCCAGGCTCGCTGAGGTGAAAGACCTATTAAACTAAAGCTACTCGGCTGCCCTCGGTCAGCCAAGGTCTGAGAAGTCCCGACAGCAGCCACACCACAGACCCTCACACGCTTTGTGCTGGGTGGAAGCAATCTGTTTATTGAGTAACCTACGTCCAGGACACGGTGAATGATTCAACATCAAGGAAGCCATAGGGGCACCCTTTTCAGTGGAAGGCCACCCCCAACCCCTAAAGAAGAAAAGGCACAGTATATACACACACACAGACACACACGACACAAAGGCTGGGTGGCCCTGTGGGCAGAGGTCATAAATTACAGTGACAGTGGGGGAGGGCAGGAGATGGAAAGCAGGTGTGTGGGGTCCAAGCGCGAGGAGGGCCTGCTGTGTGCACTTGCTTGTGCTGAGGCTTCCTGTCCACCCTCTGCTCTGCCCCAACCTCCTGAAGGGGCAGAGCACACGGGGAGGGGCCTTTTCAGTCTTTTGGGAAGCCCTGGAGAGGAATCATCTCCTAGGGGACTCTGAGCCCTGGGATCCAGAAAAGGCGGACCATGTTTCTTCCTGGGATCCCCCTCACAGCAAGGAATGAGGCTCCCGCTGTCCACCCTGAAAAGAGGGGCTTGTGAGGGTGTCTTGGCGTTGGTCTCTGCCACCCGGCTTATTTACAGGACAAAGATTAGGGATAAAAATATACTGTGGAGGTAGGAGTTCGGGTGGGGTGGGAGGGCACTTGGAAATCAAGCAGGAGACTCGCCCCCAGGCCCAACGGGTGCCTTCATCCTGCCCAGGCCCCCCTCCCGGGGTGGGGGGGAGTGGGAAGAAACAGGACAATTAAATAAGATACCATTTATTTAAAAAAATTAAAAAATAATGCCAACATTATTTCAACCCCCCTAGGCCTGCCCCTGCTTCCCACCCACCTCCGGGAGGGGGGGCTGCCTCTCCCCTTCCCTGGCTGATCCAGGGAATGATGAGAAAACAATGAACTGGCTTAGTCAGGCACAGGGAGGTGGCAGACCCAGGAGGGAAATAAAGATGCCACAGCAGCTCTGCCCTGCATCACGGCAGACGCAAGCACACGTGTATATAAAAACATTCGTATAAAAAGAGGAAGGGGCATGCGGGCAAGTCCTGAGGGCAAAGTGTTCTCCGGTGCCCAGAGACTTAGTCCCCCCCAGAGAGAAACGTGGTAAAAAAGCAGACTGGGGAGACGCCGAGGAAGTCTCTGGAGGGCCAGAGGCAGGAGCCCCTCGACCCCCCCATTCCTGTCCGGCACGCCAGGGCTATGGGCATCGACTGACGCGACTTTGAAGGGGTTCTGCCCAGAAGACAAGGCTGGTCCGTACCCCGTGGCTCTCTAGCGGGAGACAGAGGCTCAGAGACAGAGGGAGGACCCCAGGACAAAGATGGAGACGGTGGTGGGCACGTGGGCCAGGCTGCACAGTCAGGAGGCGGCGATGGCAGTGCCACCGCCCAGCTTGACAATCATCTGCTGGCAGTCGCTGGAGGAGCGCCGGTCGCCCACCTTCTCCAGGGTGCGGGCAGCCTCGGCCAGCAGCACCGCCCGCTGGCCCGGGGATGACAGGAAGGAGAGGGGAAGATGGCGGCAGGCCAGCAGGATGGCGGTGGCGCGCTCTCGCTGGCCAGGCCAGGCGTCCACCTCGCCTGTGGGGATGAGATGCACCCAGCTGTGGTCCCAGTGTAGCCCCATTTACTCACCTCCCCCCCCCTGTGAAGCTGCTTCCCCTACCCCACACCCCAGCATGGGGGACTGAGACTGGAACCCAAGCCCCACTCATGCGCACCTCCCACCCGGGTGGAGCCGCTCAGCCTACACCCACCCTGTGGCCCACAGCACCATCTCACTCCCAAGGCACCGTTATGGCTCATGATGGCTTTTTTGGGGGGGAGTCAGATGCTGGGCTGGGCCGGGCTCCCCACGGAACTCACCGTGCTTCATGTTTTGAGTGGTCCTCCGCCGCAGGCTGTGCTCCAGCAGCTGGTGGGTGCGGGTGGGGCTGGCTCCCGCCATCAGGCGCACAGTGGCTTCGTGCAGGAACACCTGGGCGCGCAGGGAAACCGTCAGACCCCAGGTCCTTGCTTCATCTCTCCAGTGGTACCGCCCTGAGCCATGCCCCCCCACCCAGTGAGGACTCCCCTTTTCCTGTCCTCAAGCCAACCCTGAAACCACGCATGGGCCAGCAGGCACAGATGGGGAGGTAAGCATGTGGCAAAGTACTTCTTTCCTCCACTGTGACAGAAACAGAGTCCAGGGGAAGTAGGACAAGGAAAAGGGGCGGCGGTGGCAGCAACGCTGCTGCTAATTTACTGTCTCATTCCCTTCTGTTTCTTCACCAAGGAATCAAGCGCAGAAAACAATTGAGAGCCAGGCCTAGGTCTAATTTTGTTTTTTGTTTTGTGCCAGTCCTGGGGCTTGAACTCAGGGGCTGGGTGTTATCCTTGAGTTTTTTTTGCACAAAGCTAGAGCTCCTTATTGGAGATAACAGTCTCATGGACTTTCCTGCCTGGCTGGCTTCAAATGGAAATCCTCAGATCTTGACTTGCTGAATAGGTAGGAGGATTACACTCAGGAGCTGCGTGTACACAGCTCCCCAAGTTTTTTTTTTTTTGTCAGTTGTGGGGTTGAACTCTGGGCCTGGGCGCTGTCCCTCAGCTCTTCAGCTCAAGGCTAGCGCTCTACCACTTGAGCTACAGTGCCACTTCCAGTTTTCACAGATGTTTCTGCCTGGGCTGGCTTTGAACTGTGATCCTCAGATCTCAGCCTCCTGAGTAGCTAGGATTACAGGCGTGAGCCACCAGCAACACTCTCAGAGTCTTTAATTTCATTATATCTAAGCCTCAGGGAGGGTCGTCAGGGCTGCTAGAAGGCAGTGGGGGGCGCAGTAGAGAGGGGAATGGAGCAGGTATTTTTAGAGGTCTTGGATAGCGCGCCTCGGCTGTGAGCAGACCAAGTGAGTCCCATGAGGCAGAGGTGAGCATGCTTTTATTTTCCAGTTAGGGCTGGCTCTCTAATGGTTTTTGTTCCTGTGGTGTTACTCTACTGCACATAGTGGCTGGCATGACTCGCTGAGTGTGCCCCTGCCCTGGCAGCGTGACCCGGTGAGTGTGCCCCTGCCCTGGCAGCGTGACCCGGTGGGTGTGCCCCTGCACCCTAGCAGTGTGACCCGGTGGGTGTGCCCCTGCACCCTGGCAGTGTGACCCGGTGAGTGTGTCCGGGCACCCTAGCAGTGTGACCCGGTGGGTGTGCCCCTGCACCCCAGAGTGAGGTCACGTCCCCAGAGCAGCAGCTCCATTCTCACATGTTATAGCCACTTGTCTCCCTGACATTTACGGATCTTCTCACACAGGTATTTACAAAGTAATTCAGTTGGATTTCAGGTAAAATTATATTGATTTCAACACAAAGGAATGATAATGTTTGAGATGAGGGCAATGTCCATTATGACACTATCTATAAAATACACGTATGGAAATGTCTCATCACAGCCTGCAAATACATACAACTATGTGTCAAATGAAATCAACAACACACTTTAAAAATGTTTAACATAAGCCAAGCACGGGAGTGCAGGCCTGTCGTCCAAACTATTGAGGCTGAGGCTGGAGGATTGCATTAGCCCAGGAATTGGAGGGCAGCCTGGGCAATCGATCAACCTAGCAATAAAATCAAAAGGGAAATGATATCGGTCCAGAAAACCTCGTTGTACAACTCTCCTCAGAGACTGATCTCAGATCCTCTAGCAGTGCCAAAGGGATGTTTGCCGAGGAAATCAACAGAGCTGAAGCCCCTAAGTGGCTGGGAAAAGGAGTTGACAAAGGAATTCTCTAATATGGCTCTGGAGATTCTTTACTCTTCCAGTTCTGACAGTCAGAGCAGCTCCCTGGTGGTCAGGACTAGGCACTGCCCACTTCCTCCCTGCCCTCTAGAGCTTGAACACTCTCCTCCAGGGTCTGAAGGTGTAGCGTGGCTCAAAGTGTCCCTTTCAGGCCCAGAACATGGCAGGTACTCAAGTGTGCTGAGCAAAGGGACTCCCGGTATCCACCCTTCTGTTGGCTGAGCAGGTGCCGGACGGGCTCAGAGGGCCAGCCCCGCAGTGTACCCCCACATATACCCGTGCTGGGTTCTGGGGCTCAGACCCCACAGACCCAATCTGTCTATCTATCATCCTGCTCAGTCTCACCTTGCGGTACGCTGGGCGGAAGCTGTGCGCCAGCCTGCGTAGGCTGCCGAGGTCTCGCTGGAAGCCAGCCAGCTCGGCGCCTGAAGCATGGTAGGTCTCTCCCAGGGCCTGGCTGGCACCGGTCTGCTTTTGCCAGAGTGTCGTTCGCAGAGACAGTAGTAGGTCACAGGTGAGGAGCTGGAGCACCTGTGGGGCAGGCCAAGACGGAAGAGAGGGGTGACTGGCTGGGCTTAAGGCAGGAATCTCGCATCTACCAGGCCCTCCCTTGGCCACTCCGGGGTAGGTGCAGCAGCCATAGCTTGGTAACCCTGAATAGTGGTCCCTTCTGTGACCCAGGAGGGGGTGATCACCCCATTCTGCAGGTGAGAAAGGAGAGGGAAGCAGCGTAGGTGGGGAATACAGCAGTCAGATCTGAGGGCCCAGGTGGTCCCCCATGGCTGGCCTGGAGACGGGTGTCCAAAGGTGCCAAAGGGCATCCTTCTCCAGAATAATCAAAGGTCTGCTGGAAGTAGAGGATGGTAGGAGGAAAGGGAAGGGGAGACAGGTGTGCATGAAGGAAGAACAACTTTGTGGTGGCTCAAGGCTGGGGTTGGATCTGGGCCCCCGTATTTCCCACTTACTAGCTACATGACCCTAGCACATGACCCAATTTCTCTAAGCCTTGGTTTCCTCACTGCAAAGTAGGAATGGCACACAGGGCTGTTGTGGGCATTGTGTGAGACAGCACTGGCCTCCATACGTCCGGCAGGCCATCCACAATGTCTGCCTGGCTCCCCACAGCATGATACAGGCACCATATCACGGGCACGTGGATGAAGGCCCTTTCTGTATGAGGAGCTGACACTTGTATGGCGTGGGTTCTAGCGGAGCTCCTCTGGGCCTGTGAGCAGCAGGCCTGGATGGATTTTGCTCTCAGGCTACCAGGCTCTTTTTCTAGGCTCATTCTTCCCTCTCAGCTCCAACCCCAGTGGTGGCATTCACCTTTTTCTGCTCCTGAGATGGGGTCTCTCGCGAACACACATCATATCCAAGGAGTAGGTGAAGCCCAGCAGCAGCTCACTATCCTGCCTTTGGTCTCAGGCTCCTCTATGCCATGCCTGTCCCCACAGGGCCAACAAACTGTCCTGGCTTCACCCTGGTACCCAAGCCCACTGACAACCTTTACTTTGAAGTGCCAGCCAGGACATTTGGGATTAGACCCCAATGAGCAGCCAGGAGTGTGACTGTCCAGGACGCTCCTTGCCGCTCGGTCTCGAGTTAAGACACCACGTGTTCCCAGGGGAGCAGGGCTGTACTCTAGCTCCCCTTTCTCCCAGAGAAGCTGCACCTCCAGTGGTGCCCTCTAGTAAGGCTTCTCTCTCCGAGTGACGGGGCCTTGGTCAGCGCATGCCTGGAGGTATCTCGAGGGCAGGGCAGGCCTCTGGGATGCACTGTGGAAACATTGCATAGGTACTGCCAGAACATGCAATGCAACTACAATGCACCACAGCTGCCCGCCAGGAATGTGTGGGCTGCCCACGGAGGTGCCAGGGCCATCAATGGCTCAGAGTGCATGGGCCTGAGGCCAGGAGCTTGTGGGGTTCCAGGGCTGTGCAAACTCCCAGCCGCGGAGAAACCGCTCTGGCTGTGCAGTTTGCCTAGGAATTTACAGCCACTGGACGGCCGGATCTGCGGTTCGGGGAGTGCAGAAGAGGTTCAGGGACTTGTTCCCAGACCAAAAAGGATGTCTCTGCCAACAAACCACATTTTGGAGACGGGGCTGCCAGTGTGCTTTCTCTAAGATGGCACACAGTGCGTAAGCTAGAGTTGAGTGAGTTCTTACGGACTAGAGCTGAGCGCCTCTGGGGGGGCCAGCGAGGCCCTCACTCACATGGTTGAGGGTAGGGTCAGCGGTGGCCCCGCTGACGTTGAGGCTGTTCCACAGGTGGCCGCTGGCCCTTTCACAATGACAGAAGGAATTCTGCTGCCCATCCGCTTTCCCAGACACGGAGGCGTGCATGGCTCTGCAGGTATGGAAGATGGCCTTCACCAGGGGGCTCCTGCAGCAGCGACAGAGGCAAAAGGCAGCTCAGAGCACGGCAGAGAGGTTCGAGGCGGACTGGTATCTGGCTAACAGGTGAGGAGCTGAGATGGTGATCGCCACCCACGGCACATGGTCCTATCAGCTGTGATCATGGTTTATGCCAGCCAGCTCCAGCTCCGCAGCACAGGTTCTGAGCTGGCTTGCTCTAGTGTGGCCATCAGGACTGTCACTAAGAAGCTGTGGGCGCTGGGCGCTGGTGGCTCACGCTTGTAATCCTAATCCTCCTTAGGAGGCTGAGATCTGAGGATCATGGTTCAAAGCCAGCCTGGGCAAGAAAATCCACCAGACTCTTATCTCCAATTAACCACCAGAAAACCGGAAGGGGCAGTGTGTCTCAAGTGGTAGAGTACTTGCCTTGAGCTGAAGAGCTCAGGGACAGAGCCCAAGCCCAAAGTTCAAGCCCCACAGTGACCAAAAAAAAAAAGAAGCTATGTGAGATGAGATTTCAAACAATTTGTATTTTTTCTCCTCTGTATAAAAGTGGCTACAGACCAGGCATTGGTGGCCTGTAATCTAGCTAGGCTACTCAGGAGGCTGAGATCTGAGGATCACGGTGTAAAGCCAGTCCAGGCAGAAAAGTCCATGAGACTCTTATCTCCAATAAACCACTAGGAAACCAGAAGTGGTGCTGTAGCTCAAGCGGTAGAGCACTCGCCTTGAGCTGAAGAGCACAGGGACAGTACCCAAGCCCAGAGTTCAAGCCCCATGACTGACAAAACAACAACAACAATAAAAAACCAAAAAACAAAAAACTGGCCAGAACCCCACACTATCTATAGTGATGAAGGCATTGGCCACTGTGTGGTTTGGGCAGAAAATGTCTCTGAGGGCTCGAGTGTTGAGGGCTTGGTCCCCATGGCCATGTTCGGAGATGGTGCTTTGGGGAAGTATTGTATCATGACAGCTCAACATACTCAATGGGTTAATGCACCAATAGTCACAATCTGGCATTACTGGGAGGTGACAGGCCCTAGAAGGTATGGCTTGGAGGAGGTAGATCCATGGTAAATCTTGAGTCTGGCCCCTTCTTGCCTGTCTTTCTCTGCTTCCTGGCTACCATAGAGAGAGCAGCTCTGTCCCACCACCAAGTTCCCACCACGATGTCCTGCCTTACTAGGGTTTCCAAGCCACAAAGCTAAGTGGCCATGGACTGGAACCTCTGAAACTGAACCCAAACTGACCCTCATAAAACCTTTGAGGGGCAGGGCACCAGTGGCTCATGCCTGTAATCCCAGCTACTCAGGAGGCTGAGATCTGAGATCATGCTTTAAAGCCAGCCTGGACAGGAAATTCCATGACACTTTTTTTATGCCAGTCCTGAGCTTGAACTAAGGGCCTGGACATTGTCTCTGAGCTTCTTTTTGCTCAAGGCTAGTGTTCTACCACTTGAACCAGAGTGCTACTTCTGGCTTTTTCTGTTTATGTGGTACTGAAGAATCGAACCCAGGGCTTCATGCTTGTTAGGCAAGCACTCTACCACTGAGCCACTTTCCCAGCCTCCATGAGACTCTTTTTTTTTTTTTTTTGTCGGTCATGGGGCTTGAACTCTGGGCCTGGGCGCTGTCCTTCAGTTCTTCAGCTCAAGGCGAGTGCTCTACCACTTGAGCTACAGCG